TTTCCAGCATGACCATCTGCCCTTAGCAATTTGTTGCCTGCCACTCTATCTAGGCAGAGGAATGGATTGCTTGAGCAAGTCCCTCTTCACCTTCTCTTCTTGAGAACTCAGAAAAAGAGTCTCTTATTCAAAGGCCTCTTGAGTTGAGCAGATAGGCAATTTAGGCTCTGTATTCAGTCTTTCATGAAGACCGACTAAAATAAAGCAAATGACTTCTCCTATGCTTCTTAAAAGGAAAGAGGCAATCTTCCCCATCCAACCTTATGTCTAGGCATGTTTGATTTGCCTTCTGACTACACTAAACCCATCTTTAAACAGAGTATAATGAGCACAGTGTGGCTCTGCTGTCTTGTAATGCACAATTAGTTTGCTAACAACTTGTTTGAGTAGGCATGTGTGCTGCTTCATGTCTTCAAGATTATGCCTGAGCAGGATTGAAAAAAAATCACAGTTCTCATCCAGTTAGTCCTACTCTAGCCTTTCTCTGGAGCATTCTCTCTCTCCTATGTCTGTCTTAATTAAATCATGCCAGTCCTAATTTGGGAATGCAGATTTTAAGCAGGGAGAGAGGAAGGAATCACACAGGCAACATCTTAATTTTAGATAGAGACAAATGTATCTTTTTCCATGAGGGAGAGGGAAGGAAGGAAAGCAAAGAAAAAAGAAAAAAAAAAAAAAACAGTGGAAGAAAACCTCTAGATGAAAACTGTACATTATATCTGAAGTGGAGAGTCTATCAAAAAGTACTAGGAAATTCTGCTGGAGAGAAGCCTACAGCTGAGACAGCACTCTGTTACCATATCTAATGGCCCTCTAGCTCTTCTAGCTCAAGGTATACTGCAGAACAGCATTGCACATTTCCATTCAAGTATGCACCAAACATTTTTATAGCACTCAGAAACTACAGGAGAAAACAGCATGTATTTAAACTGTATAGCTTTTCCCTTGCCCGTCCATTCTAAAGCTCAACATTACCTGTGGCTATTGTCTTCCAAAGGATTTCTCCATGCAAATAGTTGAATGTGTGTGTTTAGGATAAACACAGAGTTCAGGGCTTCATACTGTGAAGATTCTTTGTGTAAGCATGGATTTGAAAGATGATGCCTAGCACAGGTTGGATGTAAACAGCAGTTCCCTACCAAGCAGACCTTTGTTCCAGCCTGGAAGAGGGGGTAAAGCGGGGAAAGCCCTTAGAGTGATAAATAAGAATTTGTCCTAGGCCTTGAATTTGTTTTGAATAAATCCTCTCTGTGACTGTGTGAATGAGGAATTATATTTAAGATGTGCAGTGATTGCTGTTTATTACTGTAAATTATTTATTTCTTCCTTTCTCTGGCTGCTTCCTTCTCTTGATGCAAATTATGCACATCTGGAATTTGGATCTGAGAAATACAGAAAGGGGATTATAATTCAGTTCCCCAAAATTATTCCTCCTTCAGATTCACTCTGCATTTTTTCACCACATCTTTCATCACAGAATTATCTGCTCTGAGACAGAGTATTCCATGCTGACAAGTCTGGGTGAATGTCTGGAGATGGAGCTGCAGTCCAGCTTATTAAAAATTGAGATGAAATTCAGGAACAATTGTAAAAGTCTATTTTCTTGTAGGTTCTCTGTTCAGAATAAACTGGGTGGGTGGAGGTGGGAAATGAGGCTGTGTCTCATCTAATTTCAGTCATCTCGTAGCCCATTTATAACAGCAGGCTTGTTATGATATATTGGGCAGGTAATGTCTGCTTTTCCCCAGGACAAAGAAGAAACACAGGAAAGTCAACCTGGTCCAAAAAGAAAATAGAACATTGTCAGAAGGACAAAAGGTACATTCAGTATGAATGGATAATGCCTTGTCACAAGGGGCGACAAAGTGAAATGTGAGTCTTCTCTGAAATGCTGTGGTGCAGTCAGGCACCAGCACCAGCAGAAGGGCTCCATGCAGGTGCTCTGCAGCGTGGCTGCAGCCGGAACTCAGCATCTGGAGCCAGCCCTCAGTGACATCAAACCCAGCATTGCTTGGCTTTACTCCAGCAACACTTCTTTGCAGTGGATGCCATAGGAGACTGGGTGTAATTTAAGAAACGAGACAGGTAAGGTAGAAATAGTACCTTCTGTAGAACAATAGACCCTGGATTTCTCTGTTTATGTTTCTTCTATTCAAGATGCTGGTTTTCCTGTTCACCTCAAACTGAGTTCACACCGTGAAGAGGCAATGGAATAAAAGTGAATTTCAGCAATGTTCTTGCTAATTCACAAACGTTCAACCTATGGTTAAAGCACATGGCCAAGGATTCAGTGGCAGATCCTCTGGAGGCCATTGCATAGCCAGGAGTAGCTGGGTCACAGCAGACCCTCCAGTGCTGGCAAATCTCTTCTTCTTTAGGGATGTGGTTCAATTAAGCTTCTTTTTAGCTGCTGGAGTTTTGTGAAGGGGCTACAATGAAAACTGCTCCAGGGTATTCAGCTGGCTTTTCTTATACTTCGATTTGCAGTTTAGCAGACTCATCAGATTCCCAGGCAGCAGCAGTTTCTTGTGCTGTTGGTAAGGAAAAAGTGACTTTTCCTCTCCGCTGCAGACTTTGCTGGTACCCTTATCATATGCTAATAACAGACCAGCATAATACCCTCTGCCTGGACTTCACCTCTAAAATCACTTCCAAATGTGAATTGTCTGCTAATTTATAAAAGTACTCAGAAGTGACATGTTCCAACAACACAGGTCTGGACTTCAAATGTAAAGGCAAGCCCAAATACCCCTCCAGTTTCCTGTGAGCTCTGCAGTCTTTCCTATTGGAAGTTGTTATGTGTTGAGCAAAGTACAAGGATAATATTAATATTCTCAGCAAAGTTCATAGTAAAAGCTGTTTATACATCCAAAAGGGAAAATGGGAGAAGAGGAGGAAGGAGAGAAAAGGAAGGAAAGCACAAACTGAAAGACAATATCTATGTTTTCCTTCTCTTTTCTTCTCCTTGTAAATTTTCAGCAACTCATTTGCAAACTCCTGCAATTCTTATACCAAGACAACAATTTTTTTCATACTAAAATGGTGACATATTTGAAACAGAAGGCTTCCCCTCCCTCTGACAGAACAGTTGTCAGGAATTGCCTTCTTAAAATACCATAAAGGACCTGAATTAAACAAATTAGTTTGTGTAAAGGCTCTCAGGTGTACAGGGTGAGAAGAAGAGGAGAACACAAAACTGAAATGGTAGAAGATATTAGAGAATAGCAGATCAAAAAGGGGTCCGGGATGTGGTGTTATAGAGCATGACAAAATATTACACGTGTGGTCTGTGTGGATCTGGTGTCCCAAACTGTATCTTCTATCCAGGACCAGCTGGAAGTCACTGCTTCACTGTGTGGACTGTTCCTGACGATGGCCATAGTAACGATACTAAGCTGGCTTTTAAAAAAAAATCTAAATGAGCTGTCATGGACCTTAAGTTCCCATCCTTTAAGTACTGAAGTGTTACTCCCTTGACCAATTATTCTGACCACTGAAACACTCGGAAATTAATTTTCTCCCCTCAAAGTCAGTTAGAAAAAAAAAAAAAACAACCATACAGATAGAACATCTTTCTGGAATGTATCAAGTCTGAGTTGAAAGAGCCCAAGCAAAGACAATCTAACTTCTTTGCTCAGTAAGCTACTTTAATGTTTAGCTGACCTCATTGCTAGAAAATGGCAAGGTTACTTTCAACCTCCAAAGCTAGTCTGTTTCTGAGGGTACTTTCTACTTAGTTCCATCATGAGAACTCCTTTACACGCATGAATGCCCTTATGCAATGAACCTAGGAACATGTCATTGACGAGCCCACAGAGACTCACTGTCATCCTGTGGCATGTGAAGGAAAGAATGGAGTAAATGGGTAAACCATTATCCTTCTTCTAGTATATCGCTTCGGTTTTGTGCAACAAGGTATGCAGGGATTTCCGAAGTAGAAAGCTACTTCTAGATCATTGCCTTCTCTCTTCAATAGTTGCTCACCTCCTTAAGATTCCCACTGTGTAAGTTTGTTTTTTCCCGACACTGGATAATTTCTATGCCCTTTTATATTTGCATCATAAGTGTGAACAAATACAATGCTATTCCATTGTGAAATAACCTTGGAAATAGTGGAAGGATGGTATATGACACTAAAATACTGCCCCTCTACTCCTGCAGCTAAAGCTACATCAGTAATGAGGCCCTGGGACTCAGATCCTCTAGATAGCAAAGTTCTCAGCGTGGGGTTTCTCTCAAAAAGAATGTGAAATATGTTAACTTTCTGGGCCTGTCAGCTCCTCTGCTGGAAGCATGCAAGAACTATGAAAGACCTGCCAATTTCTGCCAATATAATTTCTGACAGGCACCTTCTGGAAGAGAATTGTACTCACAGTGTGTTTTCTGACTTCTGTTTTGTGTGGTATTACATGCTCTGTGTTTCACTGTGACCGTCCTGAGCCCATATTTTACAGCTTTTAAAGCTCATTGTCCTGCTCATTATTTTAATTTTGCCATATACTTTTGGATTAAAGCACACTATGTGATCTCAAAAGAAACAAAGTGTACCTAGGAAGACTGCCTTATTGTCTTAGCTTCCCTTCCAAAGCTGAAAAAGTGGTTTTGCATTGTATGTGTCTTGCTCACTTTTATCCTCCTTGTAAGGAATAACCTGTAGATAGACTTCATACTTTTCTCCTCTGAGGTGTGCTGAAATCTTCTGAACAGCCTTTTGATTCTTCTAAACACGCCACAGCTTGGCCCCTGTTCTTCTTGATGCTTTGCCAAGCCTATTACCCATGTCTGAGCAACCAAGGAAATAGAAGAATTATGATTTCCATTTGGCTTAGTCTAATTTTCACTGGCTTTGAAATACAGCAATTTTTCTTCTTGTTCTATTTTTTTGTCATTTTGCTGTTTTCCTTTTTCTCTCAGAGAAAACTGAATCATAAAAATTCCTAAAATAAATCCCCTTCCCTACACTGCTTTTTAAAATAACGTAACGACTTACTTGTTCCAGAACAAGATTTCCTTGTCTGAAGAGAATTTTCTTTTGCAGGAAGAAATGTGGTAATGAGGTCATATGTAATCAGAACGTACAGAATTGCTTTACTGTTATCTCCATTTCAAGTGTTTTGGAGGGAGGCTGACAGCAGAGTATGTGTGTATATAGGAAGGAAGGCAGTAACTATGGCTAATAGAGCATTCCATGTACCTCCAAAGAAAAAGTATTTGCTTTTCAGAAGCGATAATGCAGAATGGAGGAATAAGCCAGTGGGGACCATTGCAAAACCCTAGATCCAGCAAGGAAAAACCTTTTGGAACGATGCAGGCAGGGGCTGACTAGTTGGGGAGCAACCCAGCACATGCTTGGAGAGGAACATTGCTGGACACAAACAATCCAGGAATTTCCAGAACTGGTAAGGATAATGGATAAAGAATATTTATAGATGTGTTGGACAAGGCAAGAGAAAAGACAGGTGGAGAAAAAATGATCAGGAAAAAGAAAGCAGTTTTATGATGAAAGCTGCAGTGATTATAATATGGTAGAATGCAAGTTCCCAATAAATGAGGGCCAGCATCAACATCACCAGCCTGCTCTACATGAAAGCAAAGTCCAGGATACTGCTTTTGTAATGACCATAATTGCTCTGAGGAAGATGTAAGTATAGTATCAGAGGAGCACAAGTCATGAAAGAGTAAAAGAGAAGGATATATAAAGGTTCTAGTCATTGGACCATGCCATCAAGAGAAGCATAGCAGATGCCAGGCATGCAGCCTAATCTCACACTTAGGCTCAGGAGGAAAACAAGATGTGCATGTTTGGGAAGGGGGTGGGACTGCTGCTCTCCTGCTACTGAGCAGAAGCCATACAAGGTCTCTGGTGAAGGATCAGTGGCTAGGAAATTATTTGACCTCCACTGGTGCACTGCAGATGGACTGTGACAGTTCTGACTTCAGGTCATTGTCAGACAGCCAAATGCACAAGTTCTCTAGGAGACAAAGGATTTAAGTATCTCCTGATGGCTCCTGACATTGCTTATAATTTTATCAAGTGTGCAAGTACTCTGCAGTGGTCAGGAACATAATTAGAGGCATGCGTGGACCAACCTCATGGCCCAATGTCTATACAAGACACTCACCCATCTCTGCCACAGACAGCTGCCCTTGGTATTTCCAACTATCTGACATTAATCAAGATTCAAAACACATTCTGAGATGATCACTGGAGTGCCAGAATGGTGCTGCTGTGCACCCTTAAGGAGAGACTATCAAAGTTATTTCCACAGTTACATTCCATACTAAAATTAAAAGGATTTTAAAATGTAATTGACATGGCACGATAAAGAATTCGACAACAACAAAATACAACCAGAGAAGCAACTCCTACTACAAAGTAAACTTGGTCATTTATTAGTTAGCTTCACTCCTGGTTTATTAGCATTATATTTATGTAGAGTTTATGGCTGTTTTGTATATGAAAGTGTTGCTGTGCAACAGCAACAACTTGCCACAAATTAAAATTCACCAAAATTACATGAAAAGAAGACAGAAAATGTAGCCTGTTCTCAGGATGAATTTTTTTTCAACTTACCTCATCCTAGGCAATTAACTTCTTGTAAGAAAAAAACTATTTTGTGCCATGGAAAAGGGAAAAATATCCATGTCATAAAACATATTTAAGGCTGAAGGAAATTGAGCTCAATTCACAAAGTACTCAAGCAAAGAGGTCAAGTGAAATTCCTCCATAAATTGGTGTTCATTTCTAGCCTTTCTTCAGAGCTTCAACCAGCACAGCAAAAATGGTGATGGCCCATTACCCTGATTTCTAATACTTGCTTTTCAGCAGCTCAGTTCCTACGATGGTGACAGAACACATTTCTCAAGAAAAAGAAAAGAAACCCAACAAACAGAACAAATCCCAAAACTTGTCGACTTTTCCAGTTCAATACAGCCTATCAAAAGGAAAAAAAACCCAACTTCTTTCTGTTTCTGCCTTGCAGGAATCACCATTTTATGATTAAAGATTTTCTCTTGAAAGAAAACAAAATAAAACAAAGGATATATTTGATGATCCATTGTCTATCTTTTTCTCCATCCTGTAAAGAGCAAAATTAAATCAACACACTGCACTTCCTAGATATCACAGACATATGCTGTCAAGATCAGCTGCCCTTCACACATCTGAGCAAATGTCATTTAACTCCCTACTATCCAAAAAGTAGAATTAAGGTTGGAACTGCAAATAAGTACTCAAAATCCTTTCTTTCCTCTAAGATGGGTCATTTCTTAACTGCAAGAGTGAAGCTCCTGTGCCCGGTATTTAGGGCTATTGAGAGTAGAAGATTTCAGCCTGAACTGCCTTCAATACCTTTCCCATAGCAAGCTGGAGACTTGCCTCTGTGATTTTTTCCAGCAGTGACCTAGCTGCAGGAACTGACAGTCATCTGGTAACTGATTATTCAGAGGAGGTTTCCAATAGCCTTATCCATTTGGATTAAAGCCAAGAAAACACTGTAGTTCATGTCTTTCTCTATGGATGGTCTCTTTTCTCACAATGCCCCCCTTGCAACATAGAACAAATTTATCAGCAAGCACAAATGAGCTATTCATGAAGAAAATGCTGGGGACAACAGGCCTAGGAAAGCTATCTTGTCAGGATTAGTAATTCAGGAAAAAAACTATGAAGCAGGGTTGAGCTGCCTGCAACAGGAGAGATTAGAGATGGCTGGAGTAACCTTCTGGTTTAGACTTTTGAGGGTAAAAACCTTAGCCAAAAGAAGTCTTTAGAAACAGCATTATATTTTAATTGCAGCAGATTTGTTTCTTTGTTTGGATACGGCCAGAGGGCCTGGTAGAATGTTTATTTCTATTTATTGCAAATTGTGCACTCTATTATTTGATTGTGCTAGGGCACAAATGCAAGTTCTTGCACATTATTACTAGTCCTTTAATTCAGAATATGTGTTGACGTGATTTTGGCCTGTGCTAGCCAGCACTGTAACATAAAACGAGGTCACATTTCAGGGGATGACTCCACCTGCAGGTTTTTCCAGGTAGGCTGTTCAGAGCAATACTACTTCAGCTTGTTCCCTCTGGAATGGACCACTTCAGTGACCACCTCTCTTGCTGTGAGGCACTGTGCACCATATGTCACAGTCTGCATGGCTTTAGAGAAGAAGCTTTCTCCACTGAGGGCTCTGTAGTGGATCAGTTAATGAACAGCTTTGCTTTTCTTCCAGGCAGACCTACATGGTGACACCATCTCTGAAAGCTTCTTGCATGCTTCATATCTTCTTGAACATCTTGCTATGCACAGAACAGCTACCTGAGTTCCAGCCACCGTTGGAAGGCCTTTAGGTAACAGCAGGAAGAAAACCAGAGTGTGACTAAGTTAGGAGAAGAGAAAATAAGGTATGAAGCAGAGTACTGACTTAGAAGTGTGTTCTTCTTTCAAACTATGAGGAAACAGTGATTTGCCAGCATGCTGCTCCTTTCCATAGCCCATGGAAAAGATGCAGGAGGCCCAGCAAAGATTTCTCTCCCTGGAGTGGAAGTCAGTACTAATGGTTCCATATCAGACTCATCTTTCATCTTCTTATGAGCAGACTGTGGCTTACCAATGTAAGCAGGTCTGGATCCCATTGCTACCAGCCACTCTGATGTCTCATGCAGACTTGAAATCTATACAATGGATTGCCTATTTCCAAAGCTGTTAGGAGCAGAGCTAGAACAAGCATGTTGCATTATAAAGTAGCACCTTTCTCATGTAGGCCTATTTACAAGCAGGTTCAAAAGGCATAAATATTTTTCACAAGTTTCCTGTCTTCTTTGTAAGTAGAGAAGTATGTTTGACAATGCCCAGTGATGAAGAGAACATGAAGAAAATCAGTGTGGAGACACTCTTTCTGAGTTGGTACCAGTTGCAGAAAGGACTGGTGTTTGAGAGCTAGGTTTTATTTGTAAATTCATTGACATAGTCCAAGAGCTGATTTTTCAGAATGTACAAGATTTACATGTAAGGTCCAGGTCTGAAAGGTGGAAGCTGAGATGCAGACCTGGGGTCAGAGTTTTCCTGCAATGCTCATAGCTGACCATTAGTTAAACTACTCTAAATGCCAAACCATAGTCTAATTAATAATGTTACTAGAATCATAGAATAGCTTACATTTGAAGAGACTTCCAGAGATCATCTGGTTCCAGTCTGTACTTAAAACAGGACCATCTTTGATCAAGTTGCTCAAGGTCCTGCCCAGACTAGTTCAAAGGCAGTGTAAGAAAGGAAAGATAGACTCATGCTGGGGAATACGAGTTAGCATTTCAGGAGCTGTGTTTTCGAGAACCAGGAAAAGAATAGAGGGCATGAACAAGAGAAAAAAAGAACATGCTTTTGCTAATATAAATTGTTAATAGAAGCAAATGATGGAGTAAATTCTGTTTTTCTTGGTGGGGATGTAACTTTTTGAAATTTAGGGCACTATTTTTGTGGCAAATAGCACATAAATAAGCATAAATAAAGCCTCAGGTTAGCATACAGCCTTACCTTTCTGCCATCTCTTTCTAACATCTCGTCTCAGAGAAATGGGAAAAAAAGATACTTTGATAAAATAATAGATTTTTAGGTCTTCCTATTTGTTGCATGTTTGAATGATTTACTCTGTTGGGCCTATGAGAGGTTGGTGGAAGGTAGTTGGAATATCTTTCCAAATATCTTCTCCCACAAAAATCTAAACTTTAATAGAAAATAATGTTATGCCACAAGTTATTTCATTATGGTCTTGCAATGTTTTCTTTCAAGATAACAATGCTCTTCTATAAGATTGGACTTGGAAACATTCAAGTTCTTTAGTGCTGACCCTTGGAGAAAGCATTACCTATCATGCTAAATATATGAAGATTAACATAAAACCTCAAACACCATGTGGTATTAGAGGCACAGTTCAGAGTCTATCCAGGAGTGTGCCAAAGCAGTCATTTAAGTTGTTTCATCCAGCAGGCAACAACTTTTTATACAAGCATAATTTTAAATTAGACTGACCTACATTTTGGCTCATTTATAGTTCAGCAGGGGATGCAAGAAACCTCCCAAAATTGTCAGAGTTGAACTGTAGAGTGCAGCATGGCAACTATAGCTACAGAACAATGAGTATTCAAAAGAGGGTTAAATTCAGAGGAGGCTGTAATATGGAAAGGAGGCTTTATAAGTGCTCTCACTCACTATCAGTTAGAACATCAGCTCTGTTAACTTTCAATAAAGGACCAGGCTTAAATCTTCACCACAATTTCTCTCACAGTATGTTGGCCTCTCCCAGCTCCTTCTGTAACTGATCACAAATTGAAAGAATAACTTTAAAACATCAGCTTTTTTCCTTATAAGATGTAGAAAAAGCTGAAAGGACTGTAAGTTTATACTCAGCAGTAGGTTTTCCAACCTCCTGTTAAGTCATTCATCTCTAGTCTATTCCTCTAGCAAGTGTTAACTACACAGATGATCCATGTATGCTATGAGTGCTCATTTGCTGTGGTCCTTGTAGGGCATTTGTCTCTGACTGCTAATAACAAGTCTTCTAGCATTTCAAGGAACAGGTACCTGGAAAACTGAGGGCAGAGGCAAGGACTATGACCATTCAATTCATCACTTGGGAGTTTAAAACTAAAAATATAGCCCTCACATCACAAAAGTGATCCTTGGCAAAAATAGACAAAAAACACAGGAGGTAGAAGTTCCAAACATTCATTTAAAAATTCAAATCTACAGCTACATTCTGTTTTCATAGGTGGTTTTTTTTGGTTTTTGTTTTTTTTTTTTTTTTTTTTCCCCAAAGAAAATGCTCAAAGTAGCAAGGAAATATTGAAAATTGCCTTCTCCATTTTATTTCCACCCTAAGTAATTTAATCTCCTGTCCATACTTCTACCAGTGGTTACTTGTACACCTTCCAGCATTCAAGGGCTACAAAAAGGAAACAAGAAGGCTGATAAAATGGTAAAAACCTTAGCTGGCCCACCTTGGGTTTAGAAGTTAAATTTTCTCTAATGGTAGCATGCAGCGAAGTCCCTCTTTTCTTATGCCAACTGCAGAACCAGAGGGATTGTACAGCATTATCCAGACCTTATTCATATCCAATGGTTGTGGTGAATTTGTCATTTCACTTGTGCATGCTCTGAGAGCTGAATATGAAAGCTGAATTCGTAATGAACTTTCAATGCCATCAAGGAGAAAATCAGCTTCACGTGCTGAAGTAAGGTACAGAGTGTTTTTGCCTTATTCCCGCCTACAAAAAGTGTTGCCAAAGACAGCAGAGGGAGATAAGTCTCATATGTGTAGAAAAACAACAGCACATTTACTGTGTCTCTCACAGGCATCCATTGTAGCAAATTGACTGTATAAAACACACTCCTCCATCTCACCAAACACCCAGCTTCTTTCTGGCTTTCCTTCTTTCTCACTGGGTAATCTCCCTCATCAACTTCCCCACTTCTTCACCCCTTGTCAGCTAATCATGATGGTCCAGTAACTCCAAAATGCACTCTAGAAATAAAAATCTCTTCCAAGTTTTGGTGTTCAAATACATTGAGCAGAGTAATTAGTTTTAACTTTCAGATAATCTGGGATATTTTTAAATATTGGAAAGGTGTCATCTTCTGATTGTACCCTCTCCTTTTAGAGCCCCACTTTGCCTCTGGTATGGTTCACTCTACTCCACTTATTCACCTTCAGTGACAAGCATAATCACAGTAACTCCATGCTGGTAGAATTAACTGAGTGATGGTCAAGCATAAAATACCTGTACCGGGTCAAAGAAATTATTTCACTTTCCAGACAAAAGCCCATTTTCAAAACTGAGGTTATTGGCAGCACACATGATCCACCAAAGTAAAGAATATAAACCCCAGAACAGTTAGATAAATCTGTGTAGCCACATGCTTTCTAATTGCCCTGTTAACGATGTAAGCTTGAAAACAACTACTGTAACATGTTCAAAATATGTTCCACTTTTTCTTAAAGTTCTTTACTGAGGCAAGAAGGAAAGGGTGAAAAGAGCACTTTCAAAATGCTCTGCATTC